AAAGAAAGTACATATACAAATTAAGTGAAACCTGGCTTAATAACAATAACTGTTGTTGGAGTCATTGGGTTATCTGGCCTGTTAGGCTGAGTCATCAGCTGCAGTAGGCCAAGGTATGAGGAAGTCAAAAGTGAAAAAACAAGTTTGTGCCGTGCGGTGCAAGGGAATGTTGTTTTGGTGTTTGTTAGTGCCGTGTGCAACAGCTGTATAGTAGCGTGTGCAAAACAAAGTTAGCACGTGTAATATGCTAATATGCTGTGTCATAACAAATGTGGTTGGTGTAAGGTGGTCACCAGGTGCTTATAAACCCGCCTTCTGATAACACAATAAAAGGGATGCTTCGGCTTTGTTTGAGGCTCCCATCCCGAGGAAACCACGTGTACGTGTCTGTTCTTCAACACCCATGGGAGACCGCTGGGCGCGAGAAAACCCACAAATGGTGACCCCGACGTGATTCAAGTTTTTGAGCACGTCTCCTCTTACTCACTCAGCGGAAGAGCTTACTGCAACTCAGGGCCGGTCGTCAGAGCTAGACGAAGCACCCTCCCAAAACATTACCGTGAGTATGGGGACAACATTCTCTAAGCCTCAGGTTGCGCACCTCTCAGAACTTAGGGAATTGACCAAGTCATCAATAATTATTTTGAAAAACAATGGGAAAAATTTGCCGCTTCCCACTAAAAGGGATTTGATCCTCCTCTTAAAATATGTATATCAAAATTGCCCTGCATATCCCGAAAGAGGATCCCTAAAAATGTCTGTGTGGGTTAAATTAGGAAAGTATTTTCATGAATCCCCTCGTGCCCCTGCAAAAATTTTGTCTACATGGCGAATTGTAATTGAATGTCTCCAAATCCATGAAGATGCCATGAAAACAGAGAAGGGGAGGGTAGACCCCCCTCCTGCCTATAACTCTGAAAAGCCTGTAGACTCCCCGCCTGCCTATGACTCTGAAAAGCCCAGTGAGTTAAAAAAGGGACAGAGTGCAGAAGAAAAATCCTCCTTGGCAGTTTATGACTCTGAAAAGCCCAATGAGTTAAAAAAGGGACAGAGTGAAGAAGAAAAATCCTCTTTGGCAGTTTATCAAGCCGATGTGTCTTTTGAACCTTCCGCGCCAAAACAGGAAGGAGGAAAAGAACAAAGAAACCCCAACGTGCTACCTTCCCCGGCCAGCGCCATCTCCAGGGCACTGGCCGAAGCTTATAAAAAAGGGGAACTGCAACCTGAAGAATATCAATTTTGTGCGCCTGTTTTTATTGATCCCATCACAGGCAATCGCAGATATGAAACAATTCCTATAAAAAATATTAAGGAAATTAAGCAAGCTGCATCAAATTATGGGATTTCTAGCCATTATACCTTGGGTCTGATAGGTCACATGGCTATTAGTTTTTTTTTGTTGCCTGAAGATTGGAAAGGGCTATTCAATATGATTTTAACATCTTCTCAATATGTGGTTTGGGAATCAGAATGGAAAAAGGAATGTCAAAAGATCGTTTCAGCTTGGCCTGGCCGTAATGCACCCACTGTAGACCAGTTAACTGGAAGTGGGAATTACACTTACCTGGGGAATCAACAAGCAATGAACCCTTTGTTCTATTCCCATTCAGCTCTAGCTGCTAAAGCTGCTTTAACTAGAGTAGATGACCCACAAAGGGGAACAAAAGGCTCTTTTGTAAAGATTTTTCAAGGGCCTAATCAGTCTTATGGGGAATTTGTGGATCAGTTACAAAAGGCCATTTCTAGGGAAATCACAAATGATATAGCCTGCGAGGAATTGTTGAAGAAACTTGCCTTTGAAAATGCCAATGAGGACTGCAAACGAATCCTGCAGCCCTTAATGAGCAAACCTGATGCAGGATTGGCAGAATATATTCAAGCCTGTAGAATTGTGGGGACCAATGCATTTAACATGGAAACTTTGGCTATGGCCTTACAAAAAGCAGGAAGTAATGGGCAAACTGAGGGTAAAGCTGGTAACTGTTTTAATTGTGGGAAGCCTGGTCATTTTAAAAATCAGTGCCGGGCCCCAGGAGGGGGTGCAAATAAAAGCAGGGGAGTAGGAGCCAGACCAAAAACTGTCTGCCCGCGCTGTAAAAAGGGGTTTCACTGGGCAAACCAGTGTCGCTCCAACCCCATGCCCGCTGATTCCCAGGAACCGGGAAACTAGAGCTGGGGCATTCAGCTAGCCCCGCCTCAAAGGCTGAACCTTATCATTTTGTCCTGGTGGCCTCTGAGACAATAACCACAGGTTTATCTGGGCTGTCATATTTTTTGCCAATCCAGCCGGCTGTCCCTTTTCCCCCTGATTGTGACACCCCTCTGTTAGTGTTTCCTCACCGTGACTTTATTATGCAGGGAGTAATGGCTATGCCATTTTTGAAAGACCCAGCTGACTTTACATCAGTCGCTTTGGCATTTACCCCTAACACTCCCATGACTGTTTTTGAGGGAACAGTAGTGGCAACTGCCGTCCCTGTGCCCCAACAACCACAAGTTTTGGCCATTGAGCAAGAAATTCAAAAGTTCCACCCCTCTATGGCCTTTCAAGTCAATGGACGCTCCTTTTTTGGTATTCTAGATACCGGAGCTGATGTATCGGTCATAAGAGAGGAGGAGTGGCCCTCTGAGTGGCAGACCGACAGCGCACCGTCGGTTCGGGGAGTGGGAGGAGTCCAACACGCACGTGTGAGCAAACACTGGCTTTCTGTGACCTCAGAAGAAACATCAGTCACTGCCCACATTAAACCTGTCATTCTTCCACTTCATACTAATCTGTGGGGTCGGGATTTGATGAGTCAGTTCAATGCAAAATTAATTTTGGATTAAGATGTCTCAATTAATAAAGTTAAACCTCTTGACTGACACCCCAGTTTGGGTGGATCAGTGGCCTTTAACCAAAGAAAAATTAGCCGCTCTGGTGCAATTGGTAGATCAACAATTAGAGTTAAAACACATTGAACCCTCATTGAGTCCTTATAACACTCCAGTGTTTGTCATAAAGAAAAAATCTGGAAAATGGAGAATTTTAAGTGATCTCCGGGTTATCAATAAGATCATTCGCCCCATGGGAGCGCTCTAATGCGGTTTACCTAATCCTAATTTGATACCAAAAGACTATGACCTTATGGTTATAGATTTAAAAGATGCATTTTTTTCTATTCCACTACACCCAGAGGACAAACACCTATTTGCTTTTACTGTGCCTGAAATGAATAACTCCAAGCCCACAGCCAGATATCAATGGACTGTCTTGCCTCAAGGAATGCTAAACAGTCCTACAATATGTCAATATGTTGTCAATCAGGTTTTAAGACCATATCGGGACAAGTTTCCTCATTTTAAAATTTACCATTATATGGATGATATTCTAGTGGCAGCTCCAGGGCCCTCAGGTACAGTATCAGCAACCTTGCCTGTTCTAACCTCCATTTTTCAAACAAATGGGTTTTTTATTTCACCTGAAAAAATTCAGCTTAAACACCCCTTTCTGTACTTGGGCCACAAGCTTTTAGCCTCACACGCCGAGCCTCAGCTGTCTAAGTTGTGTCTTCCACCATGCCCAACCTTAGTCCAACTTCAACAATATTTAGGATCAATTAATTGGGCCCGTCCCTACATGGGACTAACCACCTCTCAATTGGCTCCATTGTTCTCTGCTCTTACGCAGGGAAAAAATCCAGGAGATAAGATCGTGTTAACTCAACAACAACTTAAAACTTGTGACATCATTCAACATGCATTGTCAAAAGTATGGGTCGATCGTGTTCAGCCCAATATGCCTTTTTCTATGCTAATTTTCAACACTGTTGACCTTCCTACAGCAGCTTTGGCTCAGATCGTGTCTAACAAAAAAATGATGATTGTAGAATGGATCCACTTATCTCACACCCCAAAGAACACCATTTCACAGAAACATACGCTCTTTGCTCAGCTTATAACAAAATCTCGCTTTAGGGCAAAGGCTTTAGGGGGTGTTGAACCATCCTTTTTATATATCCCTTGTTCGCTAACGGCTTGGGAAAGTTTGTTGGCCAATTATGAATCTTTGCAGCAAGCACTTGCTGATTGGCCAGGAGAAGTGTCTTGTCATCCACCATCAGATCCTCGCATTTTTTTATTAAAAACAGTCCCATTTAAATGGCAATCTCCTTATGTTTCTTTCCCTTTAAAAGAAGCAATAACGGTGTTTGCAGACGGCAGCAAGACTCATGGAGCCTGTGCTTGGAAAGAGGAGGGTAAGTGGTGTACAAAAATCACCCCCCCACAGACGTCAGCTCAGCGCTCTGAGTTAGTGGCAGCCACAATGGCATTTTTTCATTTTAAAGATCAACCCTTTAATTTGATCCTGGACAGTTTATATGTTACCCAAATTGTCAAAACCATTTTTGATTCTTATTTAGCACCAAATGTCTCCATGGATCTGTTAACATTATTTTTGGACTTGCAACATCTCATAAACGATCGGAAACACCCATTTTTTGTTGCCCATATTCGTAGCCATCAGCCTTTTCCAGGTCCACTCCAAGAAGGCAATGATGTTGCCGATGCTGCCGCCTCACAAACACCTCTTAATATGCCACTCACTTTTTTAACCCCTTGGGAAAGTCACTCCTATTTCCATCAGAACAAGAAAGCATTAATCAAACAATTTAATCTTTCAGCTGCTGAAGCTACTGCCATCATTCAGCAATGTCCAACCTGTAGCAAGCAAGCACACTCAATACCACTAGGAGTAAATCCTCGTGGCTTGGAGAGCTGTCAAATTTGGCAAATGGATGTTACTCAATATCCTCCCTTTGCCCCATGGAAACATCTTCATGTTTCTATTGATACATATTCTGGCTTTATTATGGCTTCCCCCCAGAGGGGTGAGGCCACAAAACATGTTATCAATCACTGTATTCGGTCATTTGCACTGTTAGGACGCCCCAAAGAACTTAAATCAGACAACGGACCTGCTTATATTAGCTCTGCTTTTGCAGAATTCTGTACAAAATGGTCCATTGTTCATAAATTTGGCATTCCGTATAATAGCCAAGGTCAAGCCTTGGTTGAGCGAGCAAATCAAACATTAAAAACAGCTCTCAATCGATATTTAAATGAAAAGGGGAAAATCGCCCCTGGCCTCCCAGCAGTGCAAAACATCCTTAACTTGTGCCTTTATACACTGAACTTTTTAAATCTGACGGGCGATCCACCATCAACAGCTGCCTCTCGTCATTTTTCAACAGTCCCTCCCCCTACTTCAAGACCTCCAGTCTACTATCGACGGCTTCCAGACCCCACGTGGAAAGGTCCTGCAGAGCTTATCACCTGGGGGAGAGGCTACGCTGCAGTAGATGATCATGGCAAAATCATTTGGACTCCAGCTCGCTGTGTTCGCCCTTATTTGGTTCAATCTCCACCATCCTAACCAGACATCAGATGACCATGGACCCTGGGCCCACAACTCTTTTATGAAAGATGTGCAGAATATTTCTCGCCTTTTGAACAAGACTGAGTGTTGGATGTGCATGCATATTCCAACCCTGGAGGAGGGGGGACTTTTTATGCATGCGGTGCCTTTTAATACAACTGGTTGGAAACAATTTCCTTGGTCTAGAGGGACTCTTTCCAATGCTATGGTGAATTATACGGTATATACAATAGGAAGCAGAATCCAGGAAAAAGCAGCGTTTTGTTGGGAATATAAGAACACTGCTAAAAACTCTGTTTTAGTAGGCAGATACCCATATTGTAACATCACATTTCAACTTTCAAACAACATGACTAGACCACATCCATTTAAGAAAATTCCTCTTTTTGAACCCCTCGATGACTTTTCTGATTATATGTGTACCTATCAAATAACTGGATGCTCGCTATCAACAGGATGTCACCCCGGCAACACAGACACGATGTCCACACTCTTCCTTTGCAGTATTGTAAGAGCCATGGCTCGCCAAACTGTGCAAAGCTCCAACACGACTACAAATATATTAAGTAATGTATGGATGCTTTGTGGCCGGCGGGCATATCAACGTATACCCCCACGGTGGTCTGGCCGTTGTACATTGGGCTTTCTTGCTCCCTCAGTTTTTGTTTCAGATCAGCCACCTTCAGGCCGTTTGCGCAATCGAAGAGATCTAGAAAATGGCCTGGGAGGACCTGGCAGTACAGGAACGCAAATTGCATGATCTATATTTCCATCTATGGGGGTAGCCATGAATTACAGAGACATCTATGCATTAAATAACTGGACTATGCACATGTTCAACGCTACCATTCAGACTACCAAATTGTTAAACAAGGAAGTGGCAGAAATACGAGAGATTGTTCTACAAAACCGTTATGCTTTAGACATTATCCTTGCCTCGAAAGGAGGAGTATGTGCCTTAATCCATTCTCATTGTTGTGTTTATATCTCTGATTACAAAGCCAATATCACAGGTACCATTGAGCATATGGAAGACATGGTTCGTCATGATCCATTACAATCTGACGGATCTGGCGCAATAAACATTTGGGATGCCCTATGGTCTTGGTTACCTGACGGAACCTGGCTGCGATCTTTAGTTTCTGGTAATATAACTATTGTAGTTATTTTAGTTCTGATATGTTGTTGTATTCAATGTTTGCCTTCTTTGTTTATGATGTTTAAAAATTTTTCCTCAGGAACTGTCACCCACCAACAGGTCAATTTAGTAACTACACCTATCACTGCAGTTCAGCAACCCTTGCTAACTAAACCAGCCTTCACTTTGCCAAGCGACACTGAGGATGACTTCCTATAAAGCGCAACCTCCTTATTTTTTAAATAAAACAGAAAAGTAGGAGATGTTGGAGTCATTGGGTTATCTGGCCTGTTAGGCTGAGTCATCAGCTGCAGTAGGCCAAGGTATGAGGAAGTCAAAAGTGAAAAAACAAGTTTGTGCCGTGCGGTGCAAGGGAATGTTGTTTTGGTGTTTGTTAGTGCCGTGTGCAACAGCTGTATAGTAGCGTGTGCAAAACAAAGTTAGCACGTGTAATATGCTAATATGCTGTGTCATGACAAATGTGGTTGGTGTAAGGTGGTCACCAGGTGCTTATAAACCCGCCTTCTGATAACACAATAAAAGGGATGCTTCGGCTTTGTTTGAGGCTCCCATCCCGAGGAAACCACGTGTACGTGTCTGTTCTTCAACACCCATGGGAGACCGCTGGGCGCGAGAAAACCCACAACTGTGAGAGGGATCTTGGCGTCCTAATGGACAATCACATAAATGATGAGCCAGCAGTGTGTGGCAGCAGCCCAAAAAGCCAATGCAATCCTAAATTGCATTAACAGAGGGATTGAATCAAGATCACATGAGGTACTAGTTCCACTCTATAAAGCATTAGTAGTATTTGAAGGACTATCACACAGAAGAGAAGGACAACCTATTTTCCAAAGCACTCAAAGGCCAGACAAGGAACAATGGATGGAAACTGATCAAGAAGAGATTAACCGTCCTAGAAATAAGGATTTTTTTTTTCTGACAATGAAAACAATCAACCAGTGGAACCAGCTTGCCATCAGAAGTTGTGGGTGCTTCATCACTGGAGGCTTTCAAGAAGAGACTGGACAGCCACTTGTCAGAAATGGTATAGGGTCTCCTGCTTGAGCAGGGGGTTAGACTAGATGACCTACAAGGTCCCTTCCATCTTTGTTATTCTGAGTTATTCTAAGTGAAAACAAAAAAGGCTTATTTTGGGAAAATAAAGAGGGTTTGGAGCAAAAAAAACAAAAAACAAATTCCAAAACGTCTCCCTCCCTTCAGTTTTCAGACAATCATGGGACTGCACTGCTATTTCATTAATGTATCATCAAGTCTTTGTTGACTCCTAGCCACTCTACAGATAGATTTTCTCCCTGATGGTCTGGCCTTTTAGGTTCTCCCACATTGTTACTGTAACTGTGTCCATTGATCTTGTTGCTGGTCATCCTCTTCTTCTCATTTCTTCTACTTTTCCAACATTATAGCCTAATTAGAGCTACGTCTTCTTACACTGTGTCTGAAGTAGGATAATTTAAGCGTGCTCCTTTGAGCCTCCAGTGAGTATGCTGCGTTGATTTGTTTGAAAATGGATTTGTTTTTGGCTGGAACTGCTAAATCACCTCACGTTCTGAAATTATTCCTATCACCCTTTTCAAAGAGGCTGGCAGCAAAGTGGAACAAGTAGGGCACTGCTGTGGTCCATTCAAGGGCCATTTCTGCAGCTTTATTTGTTTACCCTTTAGCTGGATTCTTGGTTGTTTTTCTGTTTTTTCTTTCTTTCTAATATGTACTAACATTTGATATAACTCCTTGTATCTCATTTAAAAAAAAAAAGATTTGAACACCTTTCTGAAAATAATGTGTCTAGCACAACAGAGCTATGAAAAATGTGGTTGACAAGAAAAGAGCATAATTATGAAAGAACTGTTAATGTTATTCTTGGGCTATTATCAAACAAACAAAGGTTTCTGGTACAAAAGTACATCACCTTCAGGGATTATCATCAGGCAGTCTTTCTATAATGGTGAAGAATATCTTTAGACAGGAGAAATGAACCCTGAAATAAAGCAGGATTTGGGATAGGTAGTGCTACTTTAAATTATTGGGAGACAGTGGCCTAGGCCAGTGTTTCCCAAACTTGACAATTTTAAGGCATGTGGACTTCAACTCCCAGAATTCCACAGCCAGCGTTGCTGGCTGTGGAATTCTGGGAGTTGAAGTCCTCATGCCTTAAAATTGTCAAGTTTGGGAAACACTGGCCTAGGCCATCAGCTACAATGGGATATGGGAAAGACCTTGGGAGACTGGGGAAAAAGATGCTGCCAAGGGAACAGTCAGATAAGAGTAGGCCTAGAGTTGGATAATGGGAGGGATAAGAGGTTCAGGAGAGACTCTCCCTAATTTATTGGGCTTTAAAGGAGACAGGTGGGGGGGAAAGAATTGTACTGTCATACTTGCAAGATTCTGTCAATGTTGCTTTAGAATTAGTTCATCTGGTTATGATTCCAACCTGATTTGCTCATGAGGCCAACATCAGCAGTGAGGATGATCATGAGTCAGCTTGAAACTCTTTCTAATGATTTGGGGAATGAGGAGGATGACTTCTTTCTTCCTGCCCACAAAAGATTACTTGTGTTTCTTAGAAGCCTAAACTAATAACTTGCAGTGGATTTCTGAAAACAGGTTGAGGGCCGTGCACATCCCTAGGATTTAAAGCTACTGCAGTTGTCTTAAACATTCTGGGGAGTTCTTTCCTACATAAAAACCTCACACATTATGTGTCTCTAATGAAGTTCCCCAAATATTTGTTTCTTGAAGTAGAAAACTTTTAGCTTTTACATGCTCTGCTCTAATTATGCAACGTTCACTCACCTGGCAGACATGTACATGTACGTGGCGGATCCCATTCCCTTCAACTTTTCTTTCCTTTACATCTGCATTTTTAATCTGCATTATACCCTGGCTATCTAGATGTCAGGCTTTAAAATAAGGAACAAGAAGCTAAGTCCTTTTCTATACCAAGATGCCCAAACCTGTACATAAATAAACATAATTTCTCCTAGTTGAGCTTGAGAACCTAGACCAGGGGTTCCCAACCTTGGCAACTTTAAGACTTACGGACTTCAACTCCCAGAATTCCTCAGCCAGCAAAGACCTAGCAAGGGTTCTTAACCTTGGCAACTTTAAGACTTGTGGACTTCAACTCCCAGAATTCCTTAGCCAGCTTTAAGCCACAAGTCTTAAAGTTGCCAAGGTTGAGAAATTTAAAGTTGGAAAACATGATATTTATTGTTTTCAAATGTATTTATTTATAGGACATTTTAAGTTTTATCGTGCAATTTTAAAAGACAAAATATAAGTACAATTTTAAATTCAAACTTAGAAAACATAGAATTCCCACGTTTGTATGAAATTGTGCTTTTACAGCACCATCCTAAGGATGCAGAAAATGCCTGGGGCTGGTGACATCACAGTTGTAGGAATTATGTTCCTGGCAGGGCTTTTTTCCCCCCCAAAATAGTGAGGGAACGATTATTACATATATGAAAAACATGAATTCTGACCCTCAGTACCATATTATATCACTAAGCTTTTTCTGCCTAGAACAGAAATCATTTGCTAATTGTTTCTCTCCAGAATGTTGTTCCAAGTAGCCTTGTGCTGAATAAGTCTGAGGATTCCAAAATTTCAACTATACCATCTACATTCATAAGAGCCATGTTGAATTTGAATAGCATCTTAAGAGTTTATCTAACATATTATAACATTAAAAACTTATATATGCTTGCTCAGAAGTAACCTACTTTTAATTCAATATATTTACACCTGATGTGAATGAAAATTATTAATTTTCTTTAAACACGTCTGTATGCAATGAGCAAAAGTCTGCAACCAGATCTGGCCACACTGATTTGCTCAACAGCTCAATCTGGAAAGTAACAGGTTGCCCAAATCTTTTTTTCTAGATAAAAAAGGGGCAATTCTGATCCAGAGAGAGAACTTGATTCTAGCTCAGCACATTTTCAAAAATAATTCTGCATCAGAGGTATTTCTTTCAATAGCACTTTTTAATATTAGGCATGCCACGCGAATCCCAAGATCCCTTGCAAATTTTGTGCCTTGTGATTCATTTTGTAGCATTTCAGGTGCTTTTACTCTCATTAAGGCTGTTGGTTTGATGAAAGGTGGTTTAAACCTTCATGACCCACATTCAAAGAGGATTCTTTAAAATAGTTTAACATTTTGTTCCATTTTGTGACGGCAGGCACTGCGAGATCTAATTATTTGACGGCCAAAGATGTAACACAAAAAATTAATACCTGAAATGAACATTAGTGGTGCATTGGCCTCCGGTCCCAGGTGATTTACATTTTGGGATGGTGCACTGCCCCCTTGCATGTTGTGAATTTATTATCAACTGGACGGAGAGAAAATGGTTGGGGGCGGAGGGGGGCTCTCCAGAAACAACAGGGCGGAGTTCCTTTCTCAGATGATGTTGTCCAGCTTACCTGTCAGATACCTGATTTCTGGGCTCGACTTTTTAAAAATGCATCATATATTAGGTCACAAACGTACTTTTCAGGCCCAGATATATCTATAAGCTGATAACAGGTGGGTGAGAGAGAAAATCGCGCGACTCTCCGGGAACGGGGACAGGGGAGAGTCGCTGGCTGCCTGCCTCCCTCCGGCGAGCGCGTCGCCGTCCGTCCCCCGCTGCCAGGCACCCCTGAAGCTTCCCCTCCGCCGCCGCTGCGCCTCGCCTTGGCTTCCCCCGCCGAGCGGCGGTTACCTCGGCCGCATCTCTGCGTAATGACGCGCGGGAGGCAGGCGGGCCAGGATGGGGAGAGGAGCGAAGAGGAGGGCGAGCGCGAAGGAGGTGGGCAAAGCACGAGAAGAGGAGGCGGAGAGGAGCCGAGCAAGCTTTTAAAGCGACAGCCGAGCCTCCCCTTCGCCCAGTGCTGAGCTGCGGCAGGAAAGGCAGCGCGGGCGGGCAGAGCGCCGACGGCAGCAGGCGCCGGACTGGACTCGACTCTCTTCCCCGCCTCGACGTTCTCCGCCCCCGGGGGAATCCTCGCCGATCGCAGGGGGGCGCGCGGAGGGACCCCGCCGGATCGGGCGCTTCTCTTCACCCAACGCAGCTCCGCCCTGCCCTGCCCTGCCCTGCCCTGCCCGCTCCTTGGCGTCCTCCTCCGCCGGCTCAGCCGCCTTCTCCGCTCTCGCCGGGCACCATGCTCGGGCCGGGGCTCCGCGGGGTGCAGCCGCTGACTTTGCCGAAGTTGCCCTGCTGGTGCCTGCTGCTGGAGTGGCTGTGCTGGGCGGGGGCGCGGGGCCAGGAGATGTACGCGCCGCACTCCATCCGCCTGGAGGGGGACATCACCCTGGGCGGCCTCTTCCCGGTGCACGCCCGGGGCTCGAGCGGCGTGCCTTGCGGGGACATCCAGCAGCAGGACGGCGTCCACCGCCTGGAGGCCATGCTCTACGCCCTGGACCAGATCAACAGCGACCCCGAGCTGCTGCCCAACGTCACCCTGGGCGCCCGCATCTTGGACACCTGCTCCCGGGACACCTACGCGCTGGAGCAGTCGCTCACCTTCGTCCAGGCGCTCATCCAGAAGGACACCTCCGACGTGCGCTGCACCAACGGCGAGCCGCCCGTCTTCGTCAAGCCCGAGAAGGTGCTGGGGGTCATCGGCGCCTCGGCCAGCTCCGTCTCCATCATGGTGGCCAACATCCTCAGACTCTTCCAGGTAGGACGCGTGCTCGGGCGGCAGCTCCAGCAGCAGGTGGCTGGCGAGAGCCGAGCGCCGGGCGGGAGACCCAGGGCTTTGATGGAGGCGCGGTTGCACCGCGGAGCAGGAAGAGATAAACCGAGCGCGAGCAAAGGCGTTTCAGTTCACGTTTCCGCGACTGCACTGAGCTGTTGGCAGCCTTAGAGCTGACTTCTAGGGGGGGCCTGGAAGTCAGATTGGTTATCTTTTTCTCTGTCCCTCCGCGACGACCTCACTTCTGGGGTGATGGCACTTATTTCTGGGGTAGAGGGTGGAGGAACGCAGGCGGACCACTGACTTGTTTGCATGCTGTGCCTTGATCCCGGAGCGCACACTCCCACCTCCGGATAGTTTTGCTTATCGATTTGTTCCCCAGTTTCTCTTTCGCTGGCTTTCCCTTCTCGAGTGCACTCTCCCTGCAACGACCCTTTTTTCCGAGGCTGCCTCTGGATGTACGATCCCAGTTACAAGCAGTCTGTGATTCAAGCTCACAGATTGTCCGTTCGGGTCTGTGACTGAGAGGATAGAATGGAGGACAAATGCGCGGGAGATGCGAGAGCCTGGCTTCACTGAAATTTACATCAGGGGAACTATTGTTTGGTCGGAGACAGCAATCTGGGTACCAACGGCAGGCTTTGATTTTTAAATTCTGGAGCATACAAAATGTTGATAATGTTTTCCTAGACAATTTCCTGGATTCAGCCTTTTCCCGGCTGCCTATTAATTGTGTTGGAATTGGGGTTGCTAACCCTTCGGAACAAGGGAATAGGCCTATTGGCAGTGTGGCTTTTTCATTTACTTCGTGGCTGTTCCCTTTTAAATTCCGAGCCTAAAGTAACCTGGGCACAATCTGTAGCATGAGCGGTGTGTTTGCTGCGTGGAGGCACATTCTGATCCTAAGGGAGGCCTATTCAAGTGTATTCTGCACAAATCAAAACTGTATTGAGCAGAACAATCTCAACCGGATGCCATAGACTCACGAACAACTGTCGTTTTCTTACTATTTCTAGTCAGTCGCAACCATCAAAATGTCACTTAACTCTCAGAAAGCTAAACACATTCCTTGTGATGAGGGATAGATGGAGAACATGGGATTTAAAAAACAAACAAAACCATAGTGTGCTAGATATGCAGCATGCACATCGTGGGTTGTGTGTATCAGCGTGGCCTCCTTTTCTCCTGTCTTCTACGGAAACATTTCCCCATAGCCAGCTTCTTATTTATGTGTGTACTACTAAGAACTAATATTCTAATAAGAGCAAGATCTGCAACAGCCCTTCCACCCCACCCCTTTCGTTTCCTTGGATGAAACAACTTCCGATGAGCGAGATATAAACCTGACTCTCTGGCAGTCAAATGCCTTTTCATCTAAGAAAGAAGGAATATAGATGCAATTACCTTGAAGTCAGTGTTTTTTTTTTCGACACCTTGAGAGAATGGGATATGTTGTTGCTATCTCTCTCTCTCCTTCCTTCCTTCCTTCCTTCCTCCCTCCCTCTCCTTCCTTCCTTCCTTCCCTTCCTCCCTCCCTCCCTCCCTCCTTCCTTCCTTCCTTCCTCCCTCCCTCCCTCCTTCTTTCCTCCCTCCTTCCCTCACCCTCCTTCCTTCCTTCCTTCCTTCCTTCCTTCCTTCCTTCCTTCCTTCCTTCCTTCCTTTCCTTCCTTCTTCCCTCCCTCCCTCCCTCCTTCCTTCCTTCCTTCCTTCCTCCCTCCCTCCCCCCGCCTCTTCCTTCCTTCCTTCCTTCCTTCCTTCCTTCCCTCCCTCCCTCCCTCCCTCCCTCCTTTCCTTCCTTTTTCCTCGGAGTAAGTCCAAATACAGCTTCGTCAGCGCTCTACAAGCAAGAAGAGAAATCTACAAACAGTGTTTGTCCAGATATTAGAGAGAGAAAAAACTTGGTACTTCGTACTGAACACCGTCTGGGGAGTGTGGAGGCGGAGGTGAGGGTGGGTCCGGACCCCAACTCGTCTTTCGGGAAAGATGCGAAGTTTGCGCTGAAGTTGCCCTCAGCAGTCTTCCGAAGAGCCGGTGGAGCCAATGCGGTATAGAGAGGCTGCCGGTGCGTGAGAGGAGGAGCGGGTGAGGAGAGCGCGAGGCACCTACTTGTAGCCTGAGCGAGGGCGCTGTCCGGTTCAGAACTCTTTAATCCGCTCCCCTCCTCCGCCAGGTCTCCGGGACAGCTTTTGAGACTCTCTCTTCCCAAGGCTTCGGTCCCGAACCTTTCCCTTTGTCGGGCAGGCCCGGGGGGGGGGACGAGAGGGGGGGTCTCTGCGTCTATCCCAAAGGTGCTTTTCCACAAGCAATTGGACTTTCTTGGAAGACATTTCGGAACATTCCCCACCAGCCAGTCAGAGTTGAAGAAGCTTCTTGGATGAGAAGCGAAAGATCTTCCAAGAAAAAAACAAGAAAGTCCAGTTGCCTTGTGAAAAAGCACTGAGACTGAGACTCTCCGTAGCCATTTAGCCTGCAAAGAAGCAGCGCCAGAAGTGGCGTTGTCATGCATCGCACCTGTGCTCGGGCTTCAAAGCGTTCTCCTAGCGACCCGTTATCCCCCTCTCTCCCGCTCGCCCCAGAAAGTTAATACCTCCAATCAATCTCTCTCACCCGAGATGCAACCTGAACAGAGCTTCTGAATTGATTGTTGGGATTGTCCGCAAGAACTAGATAGATGCATGGCTAGATAATATCCTTTAGCAAATTCTTTCAGAGTGGAAGGAAGCCTCATCCTTACTTATTATGTTGGGACTGAAATATTAAAGGACTGTCCACCATCACGTTTTCACATTCCGTCTCGTTTTTATACAGTTTACTTGTGTTGGCTTAGGTAATCAAGGATAGGCAACCTTGGCTCTTTTATGACTCGTGGACTTCAACTCCCAGAATTCCTGAACCAGCCATGTTGAAGTCCACGAGTCATAAAAGGGCCAAGGTTGCCTACCCCTGGTCTAGGTACTTCCCCAATCTCAGTAACTTCCAGACATGTGGATTTCAAGTTTTAGATATTCCCCCATGATTATTGCTGGGAATTTTGGGAGTTAAAAAATCTAGATATCTAGAAACTACGTTGGAAATATTGGTATTATCAACTTTAAGATCTATTGACTTCGACTCCCAGAATTCCCCAACCAGCCAGCATGCTGAGGTTGAGAAACAGCAAAGTAGACTGGTATCTGTGTTCTCCTATCTTTTGTATGGGATTACCTGGTTTCTGAGTTAGTAATAAAAAAAACACTCACTCCTCATTGGTCATTATGGCTATTCCCCCCCACCCTTTGTCATTGCAACTAGACAAGGTAATTACTAATTACTCTGACTCAAGTTTATTATATTAATTGAATACAAAACATACAGATACACCAAAATATATGACATTATAAAAAAATAGGGGAAGTAAAACTAAAGAGAAAGAGAGAGAAAAGCATATTAAGGCTTCATGGATAATTCTACATAAGTATTGCAATAAGTAGAGGAGACTATTTGTAGCTTAAGGCTAAACTAGGAGGTGGTCTCTGAGCTTGGTGGTTTCCTTGCAAACATTTCATGATCAAACTAGATAACATTATCAGTGCTAGAAAGGGGTGGGACTAGAAGAGATTTCAATAAATGGTAGTCATATTTCATTGTAATTGTCTATAACTAACTTTTGATGGATATTTCCATAGATTTTTTTAAATAACTGCTCAAAACCATTGAATAGTTCAGGACATATATTGATATCTTTCAGTGTTATAAATAGGACATGGAGAATCCACGTCCTTTGTTCAGATGTCATATTTCAATGTCATTGAAAGAGAAGTCAGACTTTGATTCAAAATAGTGCCTCATGATTTAAGTGAGGCATTATCTCACTCATTTTCTTTCTCACTGGAACAGGTGCATTGTGCAGGTCAATGAGAGCAAGGCAGGATGGGATTGTAATAAGAAATCAGTTGGCATTATAATCCATCTAGGGTAGGTGGACAGAACCTAGTTCCTACATTCATTTTCCTCCCATGTTCATATGGAAGGATATCATAAGATACAGAATATAGGAACAGTTTTCTATGATCATGCCCAGCAATCTCATTTTCCTTTCATGCCTATAATGGCAATACCTTAATTTGATCCAAGACAACTGAAAGTTATCCTTAGGTGTCCAGTCTTAAGTTGTGGTTTCTCCCTTCGGGAGGCAACAAGGTTCAGCAGTTGTACTGTGGATGCAACTCGGCATGTTACTCTGACCATTTGTACAATCAAGAACCTCTAGGTAGATTTAACCGATTAACTGCATGTATGGACATACCTCTTATCTCCAATCCCTACATTCTGTCTTCAAGGGTCATTCTTCTTTGGACACCAAGAGAATTCAATTTTTTTCAAATGCATATTTTTGATTGCCTGTTCTCAGAACTGATCTCCAGCTTTGAGAATGAGATCAGCTGGACCAGGGGTCTGCAACCTTGACAACTTTAAGACTTGTGGACTTCAGGTCCCAGAGTTCCACAGCCAGCTAAGCTAAACTGGCTGAGGAATTCTGGGAGCTGAAGTCCACAAGTCTTAAAATTGTCAAGGTTGCAGACCCCTGAGCTGGACTATCAGCTGGACAGCAATGGTGGCATTGGAACGTTCTGAGGTGAATTAAGAAAAAGCCCTTTCCACCATCACAATGTGACCCTACCATCACACTTGTCAAGTGTTGTTCAGGCTACTTCAAGGAGTTAATCACTGGGTTCACAACAGGGAACCCAACTATTAAAACAGCCAGACTTAACAACTAACAAATTGGGGAGGGAAGGGATGAACAGTGAAACAGAAACCTTTGCTGAGTTTAGCTCTCTGCCAGAAAATTATGATCGACATAGTGACCATTTCTCACCAATGAATTAGAATCCTTCCTCCCTCTTGGCATAAAAATAATAGCATTGTAACATCTGCTGTCCATACTGCTTATTGCTGATCTGTATCTTTTCTCTGTTGTATCTGTTGCAATTCTCTTTTTAATAATATTAAATATATAAACATATTAAATATATGAATAGCCATCTTTAATCTTGGAAAAATCTAAATATTGACTACACCAAGTCCATGTCAAGTTATTAAGGGATGCAAGTAGTAACTTTCCATTGTATATAATATACAATGGAAACTATAATACTTTTCAGCAAAAAATCTCTTGAATTCCATAAAGAAATATAAGATAATATACAGTAGATACAATGATATACTTGATAATCCAGGAAGGTAAAGTTCTTTCTTCATTAAACAGAATTGCAAGTTTGATAAAGAAAACTCATAGACTCATCCATCTCATAAAATTTTTCTCAACAGTTTATCAGTTTGTGAAAAAATAGCTTTGAGTAAATAATATAGGGATTTCTTTTGTATCTGTTGCAGTTCCCAGACATATTTCGTTATTCTGATTTGTAGATGCATCAGTTGTTATAGGCACTGACTGATTTTTCTCCTGTGGGTTTGCTGACATCCCTCCTTGTAGGAATTTACTTTTTTCCAGTAAACAGGAGAAATCGTCTTGGAGATTTTGCAAATTAAAAGTAATGTGAAATGCAGAACCTTGTGGGAAGATGCTTCAATCTATCAAATCAAGCAAGCAACCCCAAACATAA